AAATCAGTATGGAGAGTCTTCAAACAACTAAAACTAGAGGTTCCATTTGACCCAGCTATTCCCCTCCTACTTATCTTCCCAAAAGAGTTAAAAGCATGACACTACAGTGATGTATGCACATCTATGTTTACAGCAGCACAGTTTATAATACCTAAATCTTGAAAACAGCCCAAATGCCCACCTATGGATTAATGAATAAAGAAAATATGGTATTTATATACAAAGGTGTACTACTCTCCTATGAAGAATAATAAATTTGAACCATCTGTAGGAAAATGGATGAACCTTCAGACCACAATCTTCAGTAAAATAAATCAGACATACAAGTTTAAATATTGTATTGCCTCTCTCTCTTGTGTGAGAATCCCAAAGGGCAAATAATGAGCATGATGGAGGACAGATACTGGGGAATAGGACAAACATGTTCAAATGGAAAGTGGGACAAGGAAGGGTAGAGGGGGAAAGGAAGGAAAGAAAAAAGAAAAAAATGAGAGGACGAAAATAAATAGAGACAAAGCTTTTGCAAATGGAGAAGGGAATAAGAGTTGAAGGTAGGGAAAGGGAATTGGAAAAAAGAGTCAAGATATATCTTTTGCAAGTACAAATTCCCTATGATGAGTGTGATCAATATTTATGACAAATACATACAAGTAAAAAAATAGTTTAAAAAATAAAGTATAGGGCCAAGGATATGGCTCAGTGGCTTAAGTGCCTGTCTTGCAAGTGCAAGTTCCCAAGTTCGATCCCTGCTACTGCAAATAAATAAATTATAACATATTTTTAATGCTCAGAATGGAAAATACTGTAAGAAATGTAATCTTTTCCAATATCTTATTGAATACACTCTAATGCTTAAATTCAAATATAATGAAAGCACCTTCACAATATGGACACGTTATCATTATTGATCAGACTATCTTAACTCTAAAAAAGGAAATAAAAATATTGGTGCTAAGGTTACTTTATTTAATCTAGCATATTCATAAAAGTTGTAAATAAACCCCCACTGCTTTCTTAGGTGTTATGTTCCAAAAAGTCTAGACTCCAGAGCATTTGCTGCCTACATCCATGAATTCTGTTTTAGTTACTTTTCTTATTGCTGAGACAAAATAATACTCAAAGACAGCCTACTTCAGCTCACAGTGTGTAGAGGTTTCAGTCCATTGTTGGCTGCTTCCAAAGCAGGGCAGCAGGGCAGAGGGGCATCGCAAAGAAGAAACAGCTCATGGCAGGGAAGGACAGGGTGGGTAGAAGGTGGCAGCAGCAGCAGCAAGCCTGTACTCCCTTTTATCTTATCCAGTCTGCCAGCCTTTTGGGGGCCCTCCCCATCACCTCCTTAATCCCAGCATCACACCCTTAATCCCTGTATCATACCCCAACTCAGCCACCTTCAAGCTCCCCTCTATGAGCATGTGCAGCTTTGGGGGACATCTACCTATAAGCCATAACAAGTTCTTACTGGGTACCAGACACTGGATTAATATTTTCTCCCCTGTTACAGGTGCCAGCTACATGTCACCTGTGAAGCTCCAGGGTATAGAATCATAATCAAAACCAGAAGTTCAGGGATGTGTGAGTGAATTGGTGTGTCTCATGTCATAATAGTTTGGAGAAAGTTTGCTGAAGTTTTATTTATTTCTCCCCTTCTTGGCCTTATGGTGCCTATCTCAACATCTCTCCCCGAGTAATTACTATTGCTTGATATTTCAAATACATAATTCACAAAGAATTGTATATGAAGATAGAGGATTTCAGGAGTTAAAATATCTCTGTACCAATACAGAACAGGCTGCTAAGGCAATAAATACATTCTAACATGCTGTTGCCGTTTGATGAAATGAGACTCAGGAGTGGACATAGCAGAAGAAAGAGACCTCGTTGCCATGTTGAGAGATGACATGGAGCATCACAAATGTGGAGCATTCCTGAAAGCATACATGCAACTACAACGTCCATGGTGCAATGGTGCAAATGAAGAGTGACTTCTTAACTAGTTAATTCACGACCCTGCCCACAAATGTGTAGCCTGTCTCCCAAAGGAAGCATGGCACAACATTTCCGGACTGGTTCTTAGTGGGATAGCTCAGGACCCAAACCTAGGCCCTGTCACTACTGATATCATCTGTGATCCTGAAGTAAGGTATTTAACCCAGATCACCAGCTACATAGGGGTAGGGGGGGAGGGTCCATGTGGCAGGGTTTCTATGCAATGTAAATGATGTAACCCATGACTGAGACAGACATGGTATCACCTTTCAGAGACTGGTCACCTTAAATAAGGTCATGACATCCTCTAACTATAATGGCATGATGGTATAATAAAGAGGCACAATCTTCTGAGTTCATGTGATTTTGCCTCAATTATTTTCATAATGGAAAATGATCACCTAAATTGGAAAGAATGGAGTCACATTTTAGACAGAGAATTACATTCTCATGCAGTTAAATGATTCTTCATTTCTGCAGCCCTGAGAATTTTTCCTTAGTCAACAGTCAGAAAAAATTCAGGGATAAGGCAAGTAGGCGGGGGACCAAGAGACTCTTGGTGGAGACTCTTAAGCAAGTGTGGGATTTGTGAGAACAGCACGTAGGTCAAGAAGTGCCTATTGGTTTCGTTCAGTTTGGTGTGCTTTTATCTGATGTGGATAAAATTCACATCTTGTGGATAAAATGCCTAAATATTCATTTGGAAATACAGGACTGTTTACTTAGGACTTACTACTGCCTTGTTCTAGGCATAAATACTAAGTTACTCAGATTTTTCCTGGAGCTTCACTATAAAATATAAATATATTTCTCATAGAATGGTTCTTTAAAAGAAAATTTGATATTATACACAAAAAATTCTAAGAATATGAAGTGTCAACTCTACATACATAAGATTACAAAATAATCATGATAATAGTACAAATAATTCAGATCTCATCAGGCATAGTGCCATATGCCTGTAATCCCAGACCTCAGGAGGCTGAGGCAGGAAGAACTCCATGAGTTCTAGGCCAGCCTGGGTTACAAAGTTTCTACAAGGCCACCCTGAGCTGCACAGTGAAACCCTGTTTCAAAA